TCATATTCACCATCCCTATGACTTCTAATCATTTTAATGGTTTTACCAAGTTGATTTTCAGCTTTTGTTTTGTAGAGTTTAAACATTTCTAAGGCTCCATCTTTACTTCTAAGTAAATAAACATAACAATATCTTGTGCAATCATCGATAAATGTTATGAAATACTTTTTGCCCCCTCTAGTTTGAACAAATTTTAGATCACATACATCAGTATGAATTAATTCTAAAGGTTCGGTTTTCCTTTCAACCGATTTAAATGGAGCCTTAGTTAGTTTCACTTCTACACAAACTTCACATTTATGATTAGGATTAATTTCAAACTTTGGTATATAATCCAAACCAATTAATCTACGCAAAGCATCATAATTTACATGTCCTAATCTACCATGTCATAAATTCGACTCAAGAATATAAGCAATAGATGTGTTATTCTTATTACTAGCAACTTTTGGTACAACTGTCATTACATTTAGTTTGAAGAGACCATCACTCATGTATCCCTTACCAACATACAAGCCACTCTTTGTTAATATAAATTTATCAGACTCAAAGACAAGCTTAAAACCATTTTTACTTAACAAAGAACCAAAAACTAAATTCTTCCGGATGTCAGGTACATAAAGTACGTTGTTGAGGGTCAGTTCTTTCCCTGATGTCATCTTCAAGATCATTTTTATTTGTCCAGCCACAGTAGAAGTAGAAGAATTTTCCTTGAAAAGTTGTTCACCATTTGCAGCATCATTGTAGGTAGTGAACATCTTCTTGTCCACACAAATATGACGAGTTGGCCCAGTGTCAACCCACCATTCCTTGAGATTTCTAACCAGATTAGCCTCAGATACCACAGCAGAGAGGTTGATGTCATTCACTCCGTCAGAGATGTAATCTAGTTCAGTTACATTGGTCTGATTGGTAGTTTTCTTGCTCGTACTTCCATGATCCTTCTTAGGGCAGCGGCAATCAGAAGCTCGATGTCCAGTCTTGCCACAGTTATAGCATTTTCCTTTGAATTTCTTGTTGTTATCGCCTTGTTTAGGACCATCTCCAGTAAACTTCCTCTTTTTGTTATGTGGTTTATGAACTTGTTCAACCACATTAGCCTTGGACTCAATGGGATTTTTCCTATTCTTCTTTTCAGCCCTTCGGTTATCTTCCTCAATTCTCAGTCTTACAATAAGTTCATCCATGGTCATCTCTTTGCGTTTATGTTTTAAATAATTTTTGAAATCTTTCCAAGCCGGTGGTAACTTTTCCATTAAAGCAGCGACTTGGAAAGACTCGCTCAGAGACATACCCTCAGAATGAATATCATGTAAAATTAATTGAAAATTTTGAACTTAAGAAATTACCGTTTGGGAGTCTACCATAACGAAGTCCAGAAATTTATCGACAACAAATTTATTCGTGCCGGCATCCTCTGTCTTGTACTTCTTCTCCAAAGAATCCCACAATTCTTTTGCTGACTTCAAAGGGCTGTAAACATTATATAGCATGTTGTCAAGGCCATTGAGGATGTAGTTTCTGCACAGGAATTTTGAATGTTTCCAAGCATCTACAGCGGCAACAACTTGCCAATCACTTTCACCCTCTTTAAGTGTTGGAGCCTCTTCGTGGAAAAATCAGGCCAAATTAAGAGTTGTAAGATAGAACAACATCTTCTGCTGCCATCTCTTAAACTCAGTACCGTTAAATTTTTTTCCTTTTTCTCCATGATTTATTGGTACTTGAACATGGCTCTGGATAGGGACCGGCGTTGGTGTAACAATTAGAGTACCACTTCTAGTTGTAGTTTCAATTGTAGTAGCTATAAAATTTGATTACAAAAATCAGAAAAACAAACCACAAATTAATTTTCTAATTACTAAAAACCAGAAAATAAATTATAACACAAAATAATTTTATTTTCCTTATTACTAAAACTAGAAAAATAAAATACCACAATAATTTATTGCAACACCAAATAATATTCTACAATTGTTAATGATACCAGCATATTACTACTAGTTGTCAAAGAAAATAGACAGTATATTACTACTATCTGTCAAATAGTTTATAAATACTATTCAGTGTGTTTGGTTTGAGTTTTCTGGATTAAGTTTTTTGAAAACTGATTTTTTTGATTTTCGTTTGAAAACTAAGTTTTTTGATTTTTTATTTTTTTGTTTTTAGTGAATATTTTTAAAATTTTAAATTTTTTTTTTTTACTTTTTTAGGTGCACCTTACTTAGATGTATCTAAAAAGTAAAAAATTTGTGAAAAAATATTTTAAAAAATTAATAAATACATAAAATACAAAAAAATATATTGAATTCTTGTATTTTTTTGTATTTTTGGTATTTAGTGAATTTTATAATTTTTTTTTACTTTTTAGGTGTATTTATGTTAGGTGTGTCTAAAAAGTAAAAAAATTGTTTAAAATATTAAAAAAATTCAGTAAAAACAAAAAAATCGGGAAAATAATAAAGTAGAATTTTCTGAAAAGTGTTTTTTGAAAAGTGGAAACAAACAAGGTGATTTGTATTTTCCAACCAGAATATTACTTAGAAAATACAGAAAATTAAAATACAATGAAGACACCAAATATATTCTGTCTTAAGAATGTTGGACAATCTTCACTGTAATTAAATTAATTAATTTTGTTTGGGTATTGATTAATATCTTGAATATTATTCTGATCAAGTCTAGTGTTCGACACTGTCTCCATAAGACAGATTCATTCTCTCCATGGTGCGTTCAGATTATGGACGTCTATCTCCCAAGATGAAATAATCAACAACAAATAAATGCAGCACTACAATTTATTTGTTCAACGAACACACTTAATGTATACGCTCATTCTCACAGAAAAAAATGGAATAAATGCAGCAAAATGCAGAGATGATTTGCAGCAAAAGATGGACGAAAATTGGAGTGAATCTGATCAAATGAGGGCTGGTCTATTTATAGAAGTAATGGCACTCTTTAATTTTGAATTGAACATGTAGCATACCTATTTGAACAAGTACTGTACCTGTTGAGTTTGAATTTGAACAGATAACCGAATCTGTTTGAATTTCAAATCTGTTCGGGTGGATTTAAATGTAAAGAATTTTTGAAGAGATACATATAAAATTTTGAATTCAAAAATTAAAATTAAAATAAAAATTTGGACAGAATTTATTCTATCAAAAATAAATTGAATTTAAATATTTTTGGCCCAAAAAGATTAGTATTGGGCCGAACAAGCCCAACCTGCCTGACCGCGCGTGTGTGGTGATTTTTGGGTCCAATGGGTCTAGCCCATAACCTCTCCCTTCTACAAACTTGTGGTGCCCCTTGGGGCCCTTCCTAAGTTATGAGTCTAAGCTATATAAACCCGAAAAATGTTTGGGAGCTCTAAATTAGGAGCACTAAAGGAGCTCTAGATAGTGGATCCCACTGACTGATGTGATGTTTTGGCCTTAAGTTTTTTTTTTCTTTTTTTTTTTTTGAATTTCCACCTCATTAGTGGTCCATTAGTGCTCCCAAATTAGTGGGATGTATCATTGTTGATATAAACCCATTCAAAACTTCTCATAAAATCAATGTAGGATAAGCCATTTACATAAACTTTAAGAAATTTCCACCAAAACTCCATTTCCATGGAGCACACTTTGGTTTCAATTTCCCATGCACTCGATAATGGTTTTGAGCAACCAAATATACCACGTGAATCACAACGCGACATAGAACGCGTTACCACTTAGACCCGCCAAATTTGACGCTTGGGTTCCACCTAAATAATAGACCAAAGTTAGGAAAAAATTCTAATTTTACCCAGAATTGTCCAACCATTTCCAACATTTTTAACCAAACCAAACTAGATTGTGACATTTGTTTATTATTTAATATGTAAAAATTAAAATATAAAAAGACTTATAAAATTTGAAGACTAGCCTTTATTTTGAAATTGATAAACTCTAACCAACTTAACTAAATTAATTATTGTTAATTTGTTTATTAATATAAAATACATATCATATTTATTATTATATAAAATTTCTAGAACTGTGAAACCGAATTGAATCAAACTAGTTTCTATGATTTGGTTTTGGTTCATTTCTACAATTTAACAATTCAATTATGATTTTAATTTTTCTAGAATCAGTTGCAATGATTCGGTTCTTGGATTTCTCTAAAATCGAACCAATTTCTCTAAAATCGAACCAATCTAATCCGTGTATTCTCCTACCAAAAAGTCCCAAATAAACTTGTTTGGTTCAAGAGTTTTGAAAAACAGTTTTCAAATTTCATTACTGTATTTTTTTATTATTAATAACTTTTTTAGATATTTTAATCTTTTTTTTTTTTTTAACCTAGATACACTTGTTAAGCATACAATTTGTGTATTTTTTGAAAAAAAAAATCCAGAAATACAAAAAAAAATAAAAATACAGAAAATAAATTCATATATATTTTTTATATTTATTAAATTTCTTTTAAATTTATTTATAAACATTTTACTTTTTAAATACATCTAAAAATTTAAAAATAATAACTAAAATACGGAAAAAATTATTAAAGACAACATAATACAAAAAATAAAAAATTAAAAAATTATTTTTAAAAACTCAAAATCAAAATTTAATTCTCAATTGGTAGCGGAAAATTTGAATGTGTAAAAATAATTTTCTAGCACCCAAACAGACTTTGGTAGAAGAGGTTTGGAAAGGGGTTGGTGGTTGGGTCCATCAGCCTCGAGGCTTACGTGAGTCATGAGACAAACCAACCCAAAACTGCAAAAATCGTTTTCTTTTTCCATTCGATTGGGTTAACCTAATCGTGTAACACCTGTCTTTCTCTCTCTTTGTGTTTGTGTTTGTTTTGTGTTGGGTTGTTAGCAAATCTAAAAGTAGTCTTTCGGAGATCTCAAGGCTGTGACACCTCGATGTATCCGAAGTCCCTTTCGATCTCGACTCTGTAAAACCAACAATTGGACCCATTTCTCTTGTATAGATTCAATTACAAACTGAGACAAAGAAATGTCGACCCTTTCTTCTTCTGCGCATTGTCGATCATTTTGTTCTTCGCCATCATCATCGGCTTATGGGCATAATCGAATAGCAGTTTCTTCGACTTTTCAGAAGCAATTCGTACCCAGAAAGGTTTCTTTGCAATCAAACAGGAAAACATGGTCCACCGTGGTTTGCATGCAAGATGGTTAGCTCATTTTGCCTCAATATTATATTCTTCATACTCTCATTCTTATTGCTAATTCCTCTCTCTTTTTCATGAATTGGTTGGAGATTTGACTTTCATGTTTGTTTGAATGGCAATTGTCTTTTAGTAAAGTTTTTAGCTCATTTTGTTGCTTATTGTCTGTTATACTGTTGCTCAATCTGATTGTGCATTTTTCTTGTGACCACACCTTAGCAAGTTTTTCTTCTTGTTAAAACGAGCAAAGTTAATTGAACTAGACTCGCGTTAAGCTCTTTAAAGCGATTGAATCGTTATTTAAACATGGCAAGCTTGAACCTATTTTAAAACTTGTTTAGTTTTCAAACCAAGTTTTTTTTTTAATACCAAATTTCACAAAAGAAAGAATTCACGCTTTTATAGAGGCTTCCTAATTAGTAATCAGGAATTTTAGTATTTGAAAAAAAAGAAAAAAGAAAAAAAAAGAAGGAAGACGAGAATTATTTGAACCTATAAATTTTGAACTGTTTGAACCTTTTAGTGGTCGACCGGTAAGGCAAAATATATATATTTTTTAATTGTTTGAACCTATAAATTTTGAACTGTTTGAACCTGACCGGTTGGTTTCCCCCAACGGTAACAAATACTGATTTGCTGAAATCAGTATTCTGTCCTCACTTTGATGAATAGTTGGTGAATTCTCAATTTGATATCGATTTGGTGCAACCGTTGGAGCACCAAATAATAACTTCTTCACCAAAATTTAAATTTGATGCCAGGTTTGGTGAAGCGTTGGAGATGGTCTGAACTATAAAAAATCAAGTTAAGAGCTTGATTAAAGCTCATTTGACTTTGACTTAAAAGTTAAACAAGTCAAGATTGAACCCATTTTAAAGTAATTTTTTTTTTTTTAAAACTTGAATAACTTGCTATTGGACTTGACTTGGCTTGTTACAGCCCTGGTTGCCTTTTGTGAGTGTTAGTTCTTATGTGAATGGTCATTTGGTTCAGGTGCAGTGGCCGCAAGAGTAACGTCGATTGAAAATAAAACCCCTTTAAAGAAATTAAAAGATGGGTTGTTGTCAGTTACATCCCCAGAGGAATGCAAGGATGCTGCTGGTTTCGATATCAATAAAGATAAATCCAGTGTCAGTATCACTGTGGTTGGAGCCTCCGGGGACCTTGCTAAGAAGAAGATATTTCCTGCACTTTTTGCACTTTATTATGAGGATTGTCTCCCAGAGGTTTGTATATATCTAGTGTGTTGCTCCTTTCTTATCATTCTATTTAGAAGTTTTAATCTGCAATTTGTGTTAGCTTAATAGTTGTTGGATTTTGTTAATGTTAACAAGCTTGAAATATTTGTACATTCTTTATGAGTGTGCCTTCCATAAAAAAATATACAATCATTTTAAGCTTTGTTAACCAATGCCTATAACACTCGTTGACAAGTCCCATAACTGTTGGCCTTCATATGCTACAATGGAATTATTTTTTCAAGTAAAAATCATGGATTTCTTTGGTTGCAGCACTTCACTATTTTTGGTTATGCTCGGAGTAAGATGACTGATGCTGAACTTAGAAACATGGTTAGTAGGACCCTTACTTGCCGGATTGACAAGAGGTGATCTCAGCTCTATATTTGTCCATGATTTGATGTTCAATTGTTATGTCTTGTCTTCTCCATTTGATTCTAGTTCTCATCATGGGATTTAATGTGTTATCCATTTGTTAAACCTTTTGAGCTTGGCAACTTTTGTGGGCGGCAATATATGAGGTTTCATTTGTTTTTTCAGGGAGAACTGTGGTGAAAAGATGGAACATTTCCTTAAAAGATGTTTCTACCATTCTGGTCAATATGATTCTCAAAATAATTTTGCCGAGCTTGACAATAAACTGAAGGAACATGAGGTAATGTTAGTTTGATTTGAACACTTTTAAGATCGGTGATACCAAGTTCTGCACAACATTTTAATTTAAAGCTTGCTTGGGTAGAAAACTGTAAAATATGACTATATTGTGTCAAGTCAATTATGCTTTAGATCATGATTCTTTGTCCTGCTTTGTAAGGACAAATATTGCTGAATCTAAACTGAGGATATAATAAAAAATGATAGATTATAGGAATTGTTTTTGTCGTTGACTATTAGCACATGGGTTTGCCATATCTTCATTTATATTCATCACTTCTGGCTTCAACGGAAATTCATGTTGATTTCAAGGGAGCTCAAAAACTAGCTTATGGCATTGAATATTAACTTGATCTTAACATATTTATCAATTTAACAGTTGGTGTGGGTTTGCCATTGATTTGATTTTTCGTGTATGCTTTGAATTATGGGAAATGTACAAAATCCTTAAGAATTTTTTTAGTGAGCAACAGAAATAAAAGGAAAGGCAACTTGTTCTTGGTATGTGGCTTAAAATAGCAAATGTTTTCTGTGTTGAGCTGCTACACCATCATAAGCTATGCATAACAGAATCATTAACTTCAACCTTGGGAATTTGGCGGCAAGATATTTCTTCAAGATAAAAATATGTGATACTATCATTTTAGAGCTGGGATTACTGGCTGCATTTATACTTGGACTTTTAAGCTGGAAAGATTATCATTTTTTGTCAGCATTCAAGTTGGTGTTCCCATTTCATTGGTTAATTGTTCAAGGATAAGATCTGATCATTAGAATGTAAAACTCTGGTAGGATGATTGTTAGAAAGAGATGTGACCTAAGTATGGGCATGAAGAACCTCATGGAAATGAAATATGCATTTTCATGTTTATGTAGCCTTAGCCATTCCAGTTGTTCCTTGGTATGTTTTCTACATTTACATTAATAATAACTGAAATATAAAAGGAAATGCCATACATTTGTTCTTGGCTTGACATGTATTTCAAGCAAGGTTCTGAAAAGCGGTTGCAGTCGCCGTAACGGTGGCGGTGACTCGGTTTCGGTTGCGGGGTGTAAAGGCCGCAGTGCAACGGTTACGGTAACCAGAACCGTGAATTTTTTTATTTTTCGTACAATTTGAAAAAAACTTACCGATATGCATATTTTTTTTCCATGATCATATTTATTGGGTTAAAAATAAATATTGATCAATTTTTGTAAATTTTTAAGTGTGATCCAATATATTTCATATTTTTAAATCACTATAAATTGAGTTTTTTACATTTTATTTTAATAATTAATGACTTTATGTTATACAAAAATCAATCGCTAACTATTATATATAAGATAAATAATGACAAAAGTAAGAGAATAAATAAGAGCCTAAATATATATATATATACATATTTTAACCAAGCCAAATAGAGAATGACCACACTTATTATTATTATTATTTTCAAACAATATATAGATAGACACACACAAACAAAATGGTTTAGTAATAGCAGCTGAATAGAATAGCATAGGTTTTACAGTTTCAACAAATCAATAACATGATCTTCATCTTCCCTCTTCTCTCTCTATATCTCATGCTCCTCCATTTTCTCTCTTTATCTTTCCTCTTCTGTCCCTCTTCCCCCATTTTCAGCTTTTTTTTTGTGTGTTTTTTCAAAAGAAACAGTTTGGAATCGTTACGTAACGGTGCGTAACAGGCCGTTACGGCTGTTACGGCAGCTGCTACAGCCGATACACCTGTGAATCTCAATCACATTGCAAAAGCGGCCGTAACGGGTGGCGGTAACCGCCAAAACCGTTACATAACGGTGTTACGTAATGGTTGCGGTCGCTTTTTAAAACCTTGATTTCAAGCAAAATAACATAATTGGAAATATTGGACATTTTAATGTGTATTTTGGATGCCGTCTTTTGATTTTGTTTAATTTTCTTGGTTAGATCTTGCAGCATCTTGTGTCACATTGGTTGTTTATTTGCAGCCATTTTTAGACCTTCTTTAAAGTCAAGATGGGTAATGGGGTTAAGGTGCTTCCTTTATGTATCTGTCAAATTTTGTTTAAATTTTTAGATTGACAATGATGAACTGCTGTGCAGGGTGGGAGGGTTTCTAATCGCCTTTTCTATTTATCAGTTCCGCCGAATGTATTCACAGATGCTGTAAGATGCGCAAGCCTCTCTGCTTCATCAGCTAATGGCTGGACAAGGGTCATTGTAGAGAAGCCCTTTGGTCGGGATTTTGAATCCTCATCTGCTTTGACAAAATCTCTCAAGCAATACTTAGAGGAGGATCAAATTTTCAGGTGGGTTTTTTCTGACTGGCGTTGGTTCTTATTAGTAAGTAATGGGCAATGATTTGATTTATTTATTTGTTTTTATTTTTATTTTTTCAGGATAGACCACTATTTGGGGAAGGAGCTGGTGGAGAATCTATCTGTCCTCCGCTTCTCCAACCTCATTTTTGAACCCTTGTGGTCGAGGCAATATATAAGAAGTGTACAGCTGATATTCTCTGAAGATTTTGGCACCGAAGGGCGGGCAGGGTATTTTTCTTTCTCAAATAGTAGTTGTGTTTAATCAGCCCCATTCTGTTCTTGAACTCATGATCCTTTTTGCGTGTGGGTTGTTTCAGGTACTTTGACAATTATGGGATAATAAGGGACATAATGCAAAACCATCTGCTCCAGATACTGGCCCTCTTTGCCATGGAAACCCCTGTCAGTTTGGATGCAGAAGATATCAGAAATGAAAAGGTTTTTTTTTATTTTTATTTTTATTCTCACTAAAACAGGATAATGTCAAGTGTTTTTGACTAAATTGGTTGGTGGATGTTAGGTCAAAGTTCTACGTTCAATGAGGCCTTTAGAACTTGAAGATGTCGTCATAGGGCAGTATAAGAGCCACACATTAGGGGGTGTTACTTACCCAGGGTATACTGATGACAAGACCGTACCCAAAGACAGCCTAACTCCAACGTTTGCTGCAGCCACCCTTTTTATTGATAATGCTCGATGGGATGGGGTGCCTTTTCTAATGAAAGCCGGGAAAGCTTTGCATGATCAGAGGTGTGTGAAACTAAAGCTTCGTTTGTTTCGGTGAAAAATATTTTATGTAGAAAACATTTTCCTATATATGGTTGCGACTTTAAAACTAATGTGGTAGTGGTTGTATTAGTGGTGGTGTAGTGTGATGGTGTTGGTAAGACTTTAGTCCGGAAAACGTTTTCTACCTTTCAAAAGTGAAAAATGTTTTTTGCCCAAACAAGTTTGTTTTTTGCTGACCTCAGGAAGACATTTTTCATTTTTCGTTGTACTAAATGTCAGAACATGCTGAAAATATTTTTCAGAAAACATTTTCTGTGGAAACAAACGGAGCGCAAGAAGAGATCTCAAGTCATACTGCTTTCATCTCTATTGAATCTTTTGATATTTACTCGTGTAATGCTTGCATTTTCTCCTCAGGGCTGAGATAAGAGTACAGTTTAGGCATGTGCCTGGTAATCTGTACAACCGAAATTTCGCGGCAGATATTGATCAAGCAACAAATGAGCTTGTTATCCGTGTGCAACCAGATGAGGCTATCTACTTGAAGGTCAATAATAAGGTCCCTGGTTTGGGTATGAGATTGGAAAGCAGTAATCTAAACCTTCTCTATGCAGCAAGGTATAATTTAAGATTTTTGTAGATTATTGATGAGATATTTTGTAAACGCCCATATATTCCTTGTGAAATGGATTGTATATCGAGAACTGCAATACGAAAGTTTATTTTTTTAATTTTTATATAGAGGCCAGAATTTGAATTTTCTAAAAGAAAAAAGAAAAGAAATTTTAACATATTATTCCATGATTGGGAATTGATGATTATAGGATTCTGTACAATTGTATGACAAAATGTGGAACTCAAGATCGTATTTGTATTGAAAATCTGGAAAATTACACTCATCAATGTTAACCTGTGTTTTTGCCTTGTAGATACTCAAAGGAGATTCCTGATGCATACGAGAGACTTCTTCTTGACGCCATTGAAGGGGAGAGGAGACTGTTTATTCGGAGTGATGAGCTTGATGCTGCTTGGGCGCTCTTCACGCCTGTATTGAAAATGCTAGAAGAGAAGAAAACTATTCCCGAGTGTTATCCTTATGGGAGTCGTGGTCCTGTTGGGGCTCACTATCTTGCAGCCAGGTACAATGTTCGATGGGGCGATCTTGGTTTAGAAAAATAGATTTGAGAATGCTCTCTGTGATTTGACAAATGGTGCGAACTAGCTCACAATAGATTTAGTTTTGTTTGGTTTTTGGTATGATTATAGATGAAACTATTGAAGTTATTTCATTGGGGGATTAGAGTTGATAATAGCCATGGGCTCGGGTTGATAGTAGCTGTGGTAGTAATGGTCTGGACCCGACTATTGACCTGAGGCACTGATCGGGAAAGTCATAAAGGAATGTTAAATGAAGAGGAACGCTCCAAGCTGAACTTTAACATTGAATGCATAAGCTTTTCTGTTTTATTTCTACTAGACTATTTTTTTGGGCAATGATTGTTCTTTGTTAGTAACTGTTATAGAGTTAATGGTTGGTGGTACTTTTTTAATTCATTCATACTTTCTTCAATTTTTTTTTTTTTTTTTTTAAACTTTGGCATGACTTGTTAGAATTATTTTTAAGGATGTGTTCTTAGATTTATGGAGGGAAAAGAAAGGGAAGGGAGAAGCGATTTTTGTATCTAGTATGCTTGAATCGAGTCGACTTGGTTGGAATTGGATTAGGTCTTTCTGTTTAGTTTTGTAAATGGGTTGAGCTATGTAGTAGGCTATTTAAGCTTGTCTTGAAAATTTAATGAGTTTAAGAATGTATTCAAGTTTGATTTGTTCACATGACAAACAAATATTGAATAAGATTTTAATGAGTCAAATATGAATTGAGTTCCAGTAACTTGGCTTTTTTATAATATAAATAAGTTTATTGAGCTAAATATTCAGTTGTTCAAATTTTGTTTGAAAAATTAACAAATTTTAAAATATATGTAACTTCTGTTTGTTGAATAATGATATAATTTTAAATAAATTTTTAATGGGTCAAAATCGAGTAACGCAGTTTATTTTGCAACTTGCAACCTTGTTACTACTTTTTTTTCTTGTTACTACTTTGATTGGAAGAGAGAAAGCTTTTGACAATTACAAGAATTTAGAGGAAACTTTTGATTGAGCTTTTTATTGCTTTATAGAAATTTGTCCACAAATACCTACTAAAGAAAGATTTTGTTTGATACCATCTTTGAATTCAAGTGTGATTGGGTGATATGTCAACAACTAGCTTTTAAAGGGTCCCTCATGTGTTTCCAAGGTGGGCAGCATATATATATCACAAACCAATTGCTCAAACACTATTTTCTCTTCTCCTCGAGAAAACAAACAACAAAAATTAAATGCTCAATGAAAAATAAAAATAAAAACTATAACTTGTGTAGCAAGAACATTACTAGGTCTAGGTGCATAAAAACTTGCTTATAAATGAAGATTGAGGGTTGATGATTTTTTTTCATTTGTTTAGTGGATTTTAATGGTAAACAAGTTTCTAACATAAATATACTGTTAGTCCTCAAAATATGTCTCAAGTATCATTTTGGTTCTTGATATTTTAGTTGCTTATGATGTTCGCTTGAGTTAAGGAGTCAAATGAGTTTTTGGGGATAAAGAGACTTAAACCTCGAAATCTTCTAAAGTCGACGATTTTCCTCACTATAAATTTCGTTGTTGTTTGACGGATCTATGAATCTATTCTAAATATCATCAAATTCCTCAAATTTTAGGCGGCAAGAAATTCTTTAGCATTAAATCGGGATATTCAAGAAGAATAAGTTCACTTTCTTATGGACTTATGAGAATGATTCGGATCTCGTTCATGATTGAACCTAGGAGTTAACTTTAGAAAAAGTCTATTCTTTTTTGTCGGTACACTGTTTTCAAATTATTTAAACACGCATTGAATAAGTTGTTGACCAAATTGACAATTTAAAATATCAAAAATTAAAATGTAACATAGCACGTGCTTTAAAAATGGACAATGCACTCGTTTGACATAAGACTATGGAGCTAAAATAGTCACAAAAAGATAAAATAGACTAAAGTTAATAAGACAAAATGTCATATCCAAATTATAATCATTTTTTTTTTCTTACAAAAGTCAAAATAATCAAAAAGTTCATCCAAACGAGACTTTTTAGTCCATGTTAAAATAACAAAAAAATAAAAAAAATTAACTCACATCTCAAACGAACTCAATGTATTTGACATTAGACATGACAAAAAGACAAGAAAGAAAAAGAAAAACCCCTCCTATGTGTACTACTTTTTAAATCTTCAATAGAACTAACACTTTATCCACAGACTTTACCTCATTATAATGATTGTGATTATACAATAAATTTGCTGGATTGACGGAGGTGGCATATTGTTGGAGAATTTTCCTAGAAAAACATGATTTTCTTGTTGAATTTGAGAAAATGATTTTCTTGTTCAACTAACACGAGCTATTCTCATGAATCTGTACATCAAATAACAGTATGCGAAAATATTAGATACATAAACCAAAACACTCAAGGACTCACAAAATCATTGATCATCACATACATTTTCACTGTAAAAGAATCGACGGTGATCAATTGACCAGTAGTAATTAACAACAATGTTAGAAACACATAACTTCACATACAAAATATGTGAATACATAAAATAAAATAAAAAAAACATATGAATAGATAAGATTTTATACTAGTTGTTTGTGGATCCACTTAAAAATTCTATCCACCATTTTACTTTTTTGTGTTTGATTTCTCTGTTCTCAAATTTATTGAGTAATTAATTAATGTTTTAGAGTTCCAAACTGCCAAATGCATGGAGTGAAGCTCCGTAAGGGGCAACAAATTGGCTAGAGATCCTCATTCATCAAATCTTTGTTTCAAAACATAATAAAAACTTTATAAGTGCGACAATATTGACTCAACTTCATTAAATAATTAAGAATAAAAATAACTCAGTATATTTTACAATTTCTCATTTATCAGGGACACTAGATAAACAATCACTATGAATGGCATGAGCAAATTAAATCATGAGATACCTTTTGAAGAACCTGTATTGGAGTTGGAATCAAGTCTATTACTTTTCCTTTAAGACAATGCACACACTTTTCTTAAAGGTCGATGATTATGAAAGAACACTACATATATACGTATACAATTTACAAAACTAATGCAAAATTCATTACACCTTAAGGTAATGTTTGGTCACATGCGACTCAACTATTGGGTCATTTAACCTCTCATTTAGGAGCACCAATTTTTTTTTTAAAAATTCTTATTGTTGAAGGTCTCTGTTATTTATTTATTTATGATTATAATAAAATAAAGTCTCATTTAATATTTAACCTATGCTTGCAAAAATTTTGTACTGCTATTTTGTTTGGTTTATTAGAATGAAATTATCATCATTCTCTTGTTTAGTTTATTAAAAAAAATTATAAAAAATTACATTTCAAATGGAATTATCATTCATTATTGTAAGTGATCATTCTATGAGAAGACTAAAAATTTAGCATTCTATTTCGTTCAACTTTATTCCAATAAACCAAACATAACTTCTTTGCTTTAGCAAGACAGCCAAACAATTAAAACAAATAGAGCATGCTTCAATTGGTTATAAGTAAGCTCAATTGTACTTAAGGAAAAAAAGAGAATAATAATGATTAAGCATGTGGTGTGGATCAACTTTCCTTTACAGGAGCACTAAACAGAAAAAGTTTTGTGCAATGAGCAACCTTGGAAGTGACATTCCAAAGTAACAATTCCTTCATTTTAAGGATCATGAGTTTTACATAAAGCACTCAAATAGGTATTAGGAAAAGGTTATCTAGTGGAATCAATCCGAGTCATATGGTTCACAATTAAATAGCCTTTCTAGATCCACAAAGCCACGACATATATATTATTTGATGCCAAAATGGGGCTTTTATGTCCATGTTGGATAAGTTAAGTGCAATTTCAATTCATGAGACTATGATGATATAGAATAAGTAGCTGAAGAATTTCTTGAACGACTGGCGTGCCAAAAATTTATGAATATGTTAAAAAAGAGAGACCAAGCTGAGATTGCTGTTACCGATTTAGTTAGGGAACCGAGCAAGTGATGTCGAATTACCAAGCACATAATAACTTCGAATTTGGTAGTTAACGTTTAGACTTTTAAATTGATGTTCTTTCTATTTTGAAATTTTATGTTTTAATTTTACCTTAATTTAGAAATTCTTGTTTTGAGTGTCACTTATTTTGGCACCTTTTTATAGACATTAGAGCTTTACTATTTTTAGTAACTTTTTCCATTGCTGGCTATTATGTGTTATAAAATGATTAGAATTAGTCTATATTATAAATTTAGTTACAAACCTTCATTAGAAATAGTTTATTATAACTTCTATATCTTTCTTGTCAAATTAAGATTTTTTTTTAATGTATTTTAGACTTCTTTCGCCTATTCAATGCCTATTTTTGCAATTAGATAAGTGAAGAAAAAAAATTATTAGGTGCCAAGAGGGCACTACGTGGCACCCTCCCCTCCCAATCACAATCAACTAGCCTCGCTTCCCGCAATTTTAGCATAAGTTAATCGACCCTACTTTCAAAATTAATAAATATAAAATAAAAAGAGAGAAAATATCTTCTTAATTAATCAAGAAGTATGCAACCTTAATTAATCAAGAAGTATGCAACCTTATCCTTATGCGGAGAAATTATTTCCGTAGTTTGAATAAACGGCAATCACTTTATTTTATTATTATCATTTTTTATTTTTTTGACTCAATCAATTTTCACTCAACTTTTTCACATTTGTGGCGTCTTTCATGCACAGCTCATAGATATACAACTTATTTTCACCATATTGATTGCATGGACTTATTACATGATGGGTACATATTACTATATTATCATATTACTTTGAAGGAAAGAATTCCTTAATTTCCACTTCATTGTCATGTGAACACACCAATGAATTAATTAGTGTTTTCTTCCTCACTATTTCGGCTGTGATCATCTAAAGTCACCGACTGAGAAAAAATATTCAAACTTGAGAAATTTAAAGAATACACATCTTTGTCAATGGAGGTATTCAAGGTCTTTCTGTCATTGACAATTTTACATTACTTTTAGCTGTTGTCTTTGTGGAATACAGTACCCTCTCTCTCTCTCTCTCTCTCTCTCATACCAACTTTGATTTTATAACATATTCAACCACCTTTGGTTAGCAAGAAAATGAGATTGCCCATATTATTAGTATAGCCCATGTTTATCGATTGCTATCCAATTATAAAAAACACACGGACACACTCTTCATTCAAGTCCGGAAATAGAATCTCTATTTCATAATCAACGATTGGGAAAGAAAAAATATATCTTAACTTTAAATTTATAAATAATACCGACAGTTTTAAAATTCATATAAAGATTGTTGATTTTGGAATTTGATAAAGAAGAGACTTGTCTCGTCTAAAATTTTGCATTGGAGGGTCCAGTTTGCGTATTCATACAAAAACACTTGTTGATTGAATATCAACAACAAATACCAGATCGAATTTCATTTTAAAAGAATAGACGACTAATATAATTTTAATATTAGACATTTTGTTTTTTAATAATTAATTTACTCGACAAACTTTACAAATTAAATTATTTTAATCATCAAAATAAGCCTAAGGTGGATCCACAACAACGTAAACTGGACCCTCTAATCAAATTTTTAGACCGGAGACAAGCTTGGTAGTTTTGGTAATGTGTGATAAATTACCGAACTTCAGCTCCAATTAGAAATGGATTAGTTTATGGTTTACCATGTAAGTCCACAGTCCATGGCAATGTGCTCTCTTTGTAACTTTTTTCTTTCCCACTGTAAAAACCATTATGTAATTATAAAAAAAATAATAATTGTGAATTCAAAATTTGAAAAAGATAGCTCTATACCTTGACAATCACAGTGGAAGGTCATGAAAAGTCTTGGCCTTTTCATGTCCCCTTCATCAATCAAAGAGGCCCCATTTTTCTCTTCTCTCTTCTCCTCATAGAACCCAAGGCTTCAAACCAACACCCAACAGAGGTACCCACCATGGCAGAGAACAAGCCAACAGAGATCAAAGACTTGCAAATTGTTGTTACAAACAAAGATGATGATTCAAAGAAGCAATTGGCACCCAAGAGAAGCTCCAACAAGGATCGGCACAAAAAGGTCGACGGTCGAGGAAGGAGAATACGTATGCCGGCGCTATGCGCTGCTCGGATTTTCCAATTGACGAGAGAATTGGGTCATAAATCTGACGGAGAGACGATTCAGTGGCTGTTACAGCAATCCGAGCCATCGATCATTGCAGCGACAGGCACAGGGACTATTCCTGCCTCGGCTCTTGCAGCTACAGGGTACTCTGTTTCAGAACAGGGGACCTCTGTTTCGGTTGGTTTGGATTCAAATAGGACTAATTGGACTATGATCAATAATAATAGTAACTTGAATCGATCCCACATGGCAACCGGGTTGTGGCCGCCTCTCCCAGGATTCGTGCACAATTCTGGTATTTCAACATCAAATTCATCTACCGAAAACTCCAATTTCTTCCTGTCTAAATTGGGCTTCCATGGTTTCGAATATCCAAATATGAGTTTTTCGACGATTTTGAGCGGAAATTACCAGAATCTTCCGGGTTTAGAGCTCGGGCTTTCTCCAGAGGGTCATATTGGGGTTGTCAACACTCAAACACTTGGCCAATTTTACCAGCAGATGGGGCAAAGCCGGGGAGGCGGCGATCCAATGAATCAGCAGCCGCAGCAACAACATCCCGATAAGGATAACTCTCAAGGATCAAAACCCTAAAAGTCAGCAAGTCAAAAGGAGTATATAATGAAGATTTATGAGGCAGATTCAAGAGTTTCAGATGAGTTAGTTACATGGATTCTATTTCGCTACCGCTATTGCCCCTAAGTTTGCTGGGTATTTTAATCGGAGTCTCGGAGATCCGGTACTGTGATTTTTGGCTTTACATACACATGTATAGAACGTTCTTGATTGCGAACTTTGATCATCCTTTTTTGAGTTTGTTTTTTGCAGTTTGGATTAGGAAGAACAGAGTGGCTTGCAGGGTTGATTGTTATTCATCTTCTAGTTCTACTCAAATTTTGAGGTGTGTTTATTGATATACAATAGTTCTATAATACTATAATTATAGGCAATTCAATTGCTTGTTTTCTTTTTGACACTGAAATTTCCAGTGTAGATGTGGAACTACTTGATATCTAGTTGTTTGATATTGAACAAAAGTGATCTTCCATAGTATTCCAAGCCGCTGCAAACTCTAGTTTATGATCATATTAATTAGACTAGTCTTCATCTATCTTGTTCATTTTGTGTATGGTTATATAATATGAAGCTCAGAGACAGATGTTGATATGGATACAAACATAGTAATTAAAAAAAAAAGCACAAACCTTGGGGGATATGGAAAAAAATTATGCTTTTATTTATTGCATAAATATTACATCTACAAACAACTAAAATTAATGAAAACTGAAACTACTTTAACATTTTAAATAAAGCACACTACAGTTAAAAACATCTAGAGATTAGATCTGTGTTGCATTATCGATGGTTTGATATAAATAAGTTATATATTTTATAAAAATTAAAATAAAAAAATTTAACCCTCATATTTTTAAATATTATGACATGATGTTGAAATTCGCATTAAAAAATTATATTAGACTCCATCGTGCCAAATGAAAAATACATATATTACAAAATGGACATGTCACTTGACATGAATATATATTAAAATACAGACATGCCACGTGATGTCCTTGTAGGTTTTAGCATATTCATGTCCTATGTGTATTTTACATGGCTACCATACCTATATTGATGTGTTGGTATTTCATATTTCAGGAATATTTCCATTTTTTGTCCAAAGGTTTTCACGGTGTCATTTGGTTAGCTTTGTACAAAAGAGAGAATATCCATCATAACCAAAAATGAGAACAATAATGGTAACCACCAAAACAACAACAGCAATGGGACACCATTTGGTTGAGTCTACTAGTGAGCTAGCTAGTTATAGAGCAACAACAAATAAATGTTATCTCTCTAGTGTACCCTAATAAAGCTCTCATAGGATTTGCAATTATTTTCTCAAAATATTCCAACCCAACCTCTTGCAGTTTTCAATTTACATGACATGATGATGCACTAATAATGCCTCTTGGCAGTTACAAGTAGTTCTGAGACTGCACAAACTTACCAAACCAATGTATTCGTTGTGTAAAGTAAACTTGTCTAAACCTAAAGAAGTTGGTCGAGTCGTAAAAATTTGAGAATAAGATTTAAAATCTCGAATTGGAGTCATCTCAAGGAACAGCTAGAGTTTTGTCCGGTTATTAATTTAAGGGTTTGGGATTAGTTGAGATATGCACAAGTTGGTCTGGACACCAAGTTATTAAAAAAAAAGTCACTGACTATAATACCGACTTGTTGATGAATAATTTTGGGTTAGCCATCCTAAAGATGGGGCAAAGTCTAGGGTTATGTATGATTCTGTAATTGGTGTCTGTGTAAGTAGAACAACGGTATAGGAATTATCTCATGTGTTTCAACTATTTTTGGGGTTAGGTAGATTGAGTTCTCCAGAAGACTATGTAACACTTTGTCCCACATTGAAATTTACTTGTAGCATAGACTGCAAAACATGATATTAGAGTTTTGATTTGAGTGGATCTTCTTGAGTTCAAGTTTTGTTGCCAGATTATCTCAATCGTTGTGCAGTGTGTGTTATTTGTCTTCATGCACATTTTTCTTGATTTGTCTATCTCTTCATATGTGAGACAGATAGGGTCTCATGGTGAGGGCCGGGGAGGCGGCGTCAATTTATATACATTGTTGAACTCATTTTTTAATAGTTTAAACTTTTAAGACTCAATTTAAATAAATTCCCAAGAGTAAAATCTATACAATATTTTCATATCCCGTGTCCGTGCCCGCCCTTAGAATTTCTATTCTTGTTATTTTTTACTATTTTCCATTAAAGTTTGCACTCTACTCATCACCAAAAGTGCTAAAACAGCCCATCTATGCTGTATTATGCAATGATGTGATTAAAGAACCTAAAAAAGAATCTGTGTTTCCACTTTCCAAGTCAGGAGGACGATGATGGATTTATTCTTATTTTGAAAAGAAAAAAATAAAAAATATGATCTTAAGAATCTTTGTGCTTAAAAAAGGCAGAGGCTTAAGACTCACATTGGGTTTCATTCATTACTACTATGCTTGTGTTTTACTTTGTTCAATTGTATATTATTTTGCAAGACATCACCATAAAGAATTTTAAGAAACCAAAAGTTCTGAAAAATTAATACCATAATAATTAAAAAAATTATGTCTGGTGATCTTTCTTAAATTTTGTAGTAATCAACGGTGTTGTGCATAATTAATTTAATAAATGTTACTCATCATATATGTTCAATTATGAACTCTATTGTAATAAATACTAAAAATTAAAGAACAAATTGTGAGATGGATGGACGGAATTTTCGGCACTGACCATGCCATGGCGTTCTCGTGGTGCATTTTTTTTTTTTTTTTTCTTGTATCATCCTCTGTCTCGTGTTTTTTTTTTTCAATTTTTAATTTTGACAACTTATTTAAAACATATAGAAAAATGATATACAAATCTACCTTTTAGATTTATTTTATATTAGTTGATAATTAGAGAAAATATGAGAGAGAGTATTACCTTTAATATTCTAATTAATTGTCATATCACTGAATTTGAAAATTGAATCTAATTTTTGATCTTGAATAACAATGCTCAAATATATATATACATATATATATATATATAGAGAGAGAGAGAGAGAGAGAGAGAGAAGAAGAAGAAGAAGAAGAAGAAGAAGAATGTTAAGGGCCTTAAATTTGCTGGTTTATTTTCAGTTTGCAGTGGGCCAAATTTGCAAGGATCCATAATCCAGAATATGTTGACATGATCATTAGATTCACCACCCAATATAGTAACATCATCAGAATCAAAGCTTAGATTAGCATATATGTTATGTTGGAACTAAACTTGATGAAAGATGAAGTTGATTAAGAATAGGGTAAATTACATTTTTTTTTTCTCAATTTCATCTTTGATCTCTTATTTTTTAAATACAAAAATTAAGTCTTTATAATTTAATTTGTATTTCACAATTTGAACCTCCAACATACTGTTACAATTTTGAACGAAAGTGTTTTTTAGGAGCATTTGAGGGGGGGAAAAATGCATGGCAAATGATGTTTTTTTCACTCAAATCTCCCATGTTTCAATTTTTTTTTTGTTTTTTTGAAATTTTAAATGATGGGGTGATAGAAGGAGCACACTAAAATACAAAATGAAATTTGAGTAATTATTATTATAATAAGCGGGTTCAATGTAAAATTTAAGTGACAGTTCACAATGAAAAGCGTAATATACTCATGAGAATATAACGGTGTACATTGCCCTTAAGCTGAGACTTATTATGAAGAATTTTGCATATATATATATTAGCATATGACGATAAAATAACAAATTATTTTTTAAGTAAGATACATATTATTTATATTTAATATTTTTTTCATTTTATAGTTTATAAGTAAAAAAATTAAATATAAATTTATGAGTTGTATATTAATTACTTCCGCTCTCCACCCAAACAAATTTAGTCGTTAATCAGTATATTTTTTAATTTTCTTTTGAAAATATAAAGATAAATAATTTGGTTTATGATTTTTCTCTCCCTCAACCCATACATTCAATATTTTTTCCTTTAAAACGTATTAATAATATGTGCAATTTACAAAAATAAAATAAAAAGTACAAATAATTTTATGAGATGTGTTCATGCTATTTAAAAATTAAAAATATTATTTAAAAGAGCTCAATTCAATGAAATTTTAAAATTAATAGAATTTAATAACTTTATAAAGAACAAAATAATTGTGTAAGACATTTATTTTTAAGGGTTTGGCTTCAGATTGGAAGGTGCTATTAGGCCTGTGGGGGCCAATCACGGGTCCTATTTTGATAATCTGAACAATTCAATGTGCAGAATTCGTTGAGTACTATATACCTGTAAAAAATCACGTTAATCGGATATCGATAGCTATTTCACCATCCAGATTTCTGTCAACCGTTTATTTTTTCACCGTCCATTTTATTTTATATAAAACTGATTTTCGCCATCCAGATTTCTGTCAACTGTTTATTTTTTCACCGTCCATTTTATTTTATATAAAACTGATTTGATCACATAGCTATCGATATCCGATCAATGTGATTTTTTATAGACATATAGTACTCAACGAGTTATACACATTGAACGATTTAGATTATCAAAACGAGACCCATGATGAGCTCCCACGGGCCCAACAACACTCTAATCCGATCACGGACTGGAGGGAAGTCAATCCCTATTTTTAAATTTTATTTGTAAGGATTTCTATTATGAAAATTTTAAGTTACAAATATTTAGGATTGAATGGCATAAACATTTTTTTAAAAAAAATTGTAGTTTGAGACCTTAAAACTCTAAAAACAGTCTTTGTTAAAATAATTTTTAAAAAAAAATCATTTACAATACGATATATTAAAATGATTGGATAATCTCATATTATTTTTTTCTTTTTTTTAAAGTTATAGCATATTGCATTTTTTTAGTTTTTTAATAGTGAAATAAGTCATATTGTTTAGCAATTTTGTTAGTTTTCTTAAGTCTTTTTTTTTTGTTTTTTTAACTCTCATTTAGGAAGACCTTTTTTTTTCTTTTACTATTTTTCATTTTTAATGAATTTTTTTTTTAAAAAGAAAGAAATTGAATGAAATTTTTATTTTTAATTTTAATTTTGTGTAACTTAGAGTAACCAATTTTTTTTTTCTTTAAAAGATAGATTTTGAAAAAATTTCAACATGATGAATTAAGTTAGGGAGTAAAAGGAATAAGATTATCTTTTTGGGTGGGACTAAACTGTGATAATTTTTTAAAATTTCACTTTTTAGCTTGTTTTACGAAAAAAGTTCTTTTTTTTACTGATATTTGGAAAATGACAACATGGTCTTTTTTTAACTAAAAAAAAAAACTAAAAAAATTACTTTAAAAATCTTAGGCACAGGAGACCTTAATTACATACTTTGTGGGCTAATTTTCAATGTTCAAAAAAAGTACTTATAGTTTTATTCAATATATATATATA